GCCAAAAATTAGTTTTCCTTCCGTTATGAATATTCCACGCCACTCCCTTTCTCAGGAGATCAGAAGCTTTGTTAAAACTTCTCCAAGCAAAGGAACTTCCCTGACTAGGCCGGAAGATGGACATGCCTTCACACTGTTTCCCATACTTCGCCCTCATTAACGGAGTCCACAAGCAATCCCTCTCAGTCAGTAGTCGCCATCCACCTTTAGCGAGGAGAGCGAGGTTGGCTTGCCTCAAGGTTCGCAGTCCCGCTCCACCCAGCCATTTCGGCTCCTGAAGCTTCTCCCACGCCACAAGATGCATCTTCCCCTGGCCCTCGTCATCTCCCCACGCAAAGTCCCTGTTCATCTTATCTATAGAGTTGCACACATTCATCGGAATAAGCTCAGAGTGCATAGGATAGGTGGGAATTGCCGAGGATACAGAGCGAATTACTGTCAGCCTGGCTGCCATAGACAAACGCCTAGCTTTCCATGGGTTAGTTAGCGGTGGGTAAAATGACTAGATAGATCAGCCAATTATTATGAGGTTTGTTACAAAACCGTCACTTAACTTTAAAACAATAATGAAATAATTGAGTCAAATAAGGGATGGCAACGAGTCGGGTCCATTGTTACGTCCCTCTTATCCTTGTTGCCATGTTCCTCCCAGTTTTTCCAGGCTGCAGTGTAGATGTTTAAGGTGCTGACATCAAGGCAGACACCGATGAGGATTGTCGGGGCCGTCGTATAGCTACGGTGGTGGGTACGGAGCGCCGACGACGATGGCGTTGGTGGGTGGCGGCCTATGACGATTCTGGGTTATAGTGCCGGGTAATATGATGATGGATTTGACTTCTGATGAGGATTAGGGTAAAATATCCAAGGTAAAATGCCCTGATTCGCCGAATACCTCATATTAATTCTTTGCTTTTTTGAAATTTAAACTTACACTAAACACAATTCTCTCTCCAAAAAAATCAAATAATCTCTCTTCTCTCCTCCCTCTCATCAAGCTTTCGCCGACCACCGTTATGATTTTTCGATTTCTAATATTTTAGATATGATTTTTTCAAATTTTTAGTTATGATTTTTGTACCACTACATTGATATTTGTACCACTGCACTTAAACTCAGATATGATATTTTGTACGAGTGCACTGGTAGCGTTACCAATGCACTGGTAGAGATACCACTACACTGGTAGCGATATCAGTGCACTAGTGTAAATATCATATTTGAGTTTAATTGTAGTGGTAGAAATATCAGTGGAGTGGTGCAATGGATCACTGCACTGTTACATTTTTTTAATGTAACGGTACATTTTCGCGAGTGGCCGGAGGAAGTCTGCCGCCGGGATTTCACCGGAGAAGTGTGGCGATCGGAGGCTGCGGGAAAAAGGAAGAATCAGAAATAGGGAGAGAGAATTATATTTAATGTAGGGTTAAATTAAAAAAACAAGTAATTAATATGGTGCATTTAATTCCCTATGTGTATTTAGTATGAGTGATAAAATATATAGATTGCATTTAATATTAAGGAGGTGTCATTTTTCCAACCTCTTTATGGGGTTAGCAAGCTAACCGATCCCCACCATCATCCAGAGCTGTCAGAATTGAACCCAATCCGACTAACCCGCGCAACCCACACGACCCACAATCAGTTTGTAACCCGATTTGACAAAAATCAACCACTCGAAGCTCGCTCGTAACCCGAAACCAATTGACTCGTAATCCGATCAACCCATAACTCGATGAACTCGTTATCCGATCCAACCCATAACTCGACCCATCTATAACCCGAATGATTCATAACCCAAATAACCCATAACCGAACCGAACCCAATTTGAATAACCCGAATAACTCATTTGACCCGAATGCTTGTACAAAAATTCAATGTATACATTATTATACTTTTAATTTTTTTTTTGATGAATCGGGTTGTTCTCATTCCATCAAAAAAAGGGGTACTAGTAACATCCCTACTAGTTAGGATTAATCAAGTTCAGAGCATTTCTATACAAATAAATCCAAAACTTGACTACCAAAAATCACAGAAACCTCCTCTCTAACAATCTTGCACAAAACAATTCTATCCCTGCACACTCCTGTATAAACTCTACTACACCTCTCTCGCCAAATCAGACTGACCAGACTCTGCCACAAAGCCCTCCCTGCTTGAGCATCAACAGACTTAGAACCAAACCTCTGCTTTACCCAACTGATCTCACTGCTCAATGAGGAAGAGCTAGCAGATCGACTCCCATACAGCTCGTTCTTCAGACTCCTGTATAACACACACTCAGCAATCAAATGGTCAAGTGATTCTAGCTGGCAGTTACAGAAAACACAGCCCAGGCTCCCCGAGTAACCCCATTTAGCCATCTTCTCCTTAGTTGAGATTGCTTTACTTAGGATAAGGCAGGCTATAAATCTATTTCGTGGTATTGAATTCCCCTGCCACAGTAGCCTGTACCAATCCACTTCCTGCCTTTTAGGTCTCAGAGTGTTCCAGACTCGCTTAATAGAATATCTTTCCATTCTTTCCTGGTCCCAAAACACCTGTCGCCCCTGCTGATGAAAGTGCCCTTGCACCTTGTGCCTCACTTTCAATATTCTCTTCCAATTCCAAGAGCCAGAAACACCACCATATTCCCATAAACTCTGACCTTTCAGCTTGTATAAACTAATCCAAGCCACCCATAAAGAGCCATGCTTCATTAGAAGGAGCCATATATGCCTTGTGATGCATGTTGTATTCCAGGTAGTAAGATCCCTTAGGCCTAAACCCCCCTCCTTCTTTTGATAAGTAAGATTCTGCCACCCTATTTTTGCCTTGACCCTTCCATTTTGACCCACTCCCCAAAGAAAATTGCTACATATATTCTCCACTTCCTTCAGTACTGCTTTAGGGAGAAGGAAAACAGCCATCCAGTATTGATGGAGACTATATAGAACTGAACTGACCAATTCAATTCTACCAGCATATGAAAGAAATTTGGTTTTCCAACTACTAATCCGAGCTACTATCTTATCAATGAGGGATTTACAGGCAGATACTGTGAGTTTCCCAGAAGACAAAGGAACCCCCAGATACCTCACTGGGAATCTTCCCAGAGCAAAACCATATCTTTCAGCCCTAATCTTCTGTTCAGAGCCAGAAATACCCCCAAAAAACAATTCACATTTGCTTGGATTAACTTTCAAGCCAGAGAGCATCCTAAATCGAGATAAAATCTCATTCAATCTCTGAAATTTTCAAATTTTTACTGATTTTATTTATTTTTTATAAATTAATAATTCAACGATTCGAACTAGATGATAAGATCATATTTGAGCGAACCGTTGTTCGACCCATGAGTTTTAGGATGAGATGTTACCGTGAATATACAAAAAATTGCGAAGATATATAAGTGGGTATTCGGAATGATGTTCATAAGTCTTCTTGGAAATGAAGAGACACACATCTAGCTCATGCTATATTTAATTAAGACGATTCATGTCGAGATGTATAAGCATATAGTCTACTTTTTTTTACTTCATTCTCAAATTTTTACTGATTCAATTATTTTTTATAAATTAACAAAATAAGTGAAGTTACAATCTCTCACCATAAAAAAAATTATAACCAACAACAAAGCTTTTACATACACTATTTTATTTATATTTAGTTCTTATACTAACATAATGGATATTTAATTTGTATGTGTAAAATATCATCATATTATCATTTTCTTAAATTTTGTATCATTACCTACAATTTATATTCATATATTGATAGTTTGTAAAACATTATTTTCTGTCAAGAAGTAAATGATCCAATGGGTTAACCCGAATAACTCATAGTCCGACCTGACCGAACCCGAATTAACTCGCAACCCAATAAACCCGTAATTTGATGCACCCGTAACCTGATGCACCCGTAACCCAATTGACTAGTGACCTGATTGACTCGCAACCCAATTGACCCGCAACCCAATTGAACCCGATTTAAATTGAAATCGACCCGATTGAACTCGCAACCCGATTGAACCCAACCCGGTTAGACCCAATCCGAACTCGACCCAACCCGCTCATTTGACACCTCTGCCCTCATCAGTTGTTAACTCATATTAAATTAAAGAAGCTTATGGATGAAAATTGTCTGACTTGATGATTTTTAATATTTCATTGGGTTATCACACGCACCAATCACTCAACTTTATGGTGATCGCAATCAGGTCACTCAATTTTTAAACTTTTTTATAAATTTGTTACTGAAAACTTCAAAGTAATTACTTTCTAGACTTCGAAATAATTTTCGTCTAGTTTGTTATTTAATTTATTCATATATCAGTATCATCTCACATTTAAATTAATGACTATGGTAACAATTCTATTCATATTCGTTTGAGTTTTTTTTTTTGGTTCTAGTTATATAGATGAGTGTCATTTATCAAGTTACCAACCTCTAACTAGCTACAGAAAAGAGTAAAGATGAAGAGGCAAGGATGGTTTTTTTTGGTAGAACAACGATGGTTTTCTAATTATATGGAATGAAGAGTGAGTTTGAATTTTTTTAATATCACAGTTAGATAGTAAAATAGATAGCTGACTACAAATTATTAATAATTCAAACGTGGTAATTAACTGAATGTTGAACTATCGATAGAAGGGCCGTTTTTTGCGACTAAATAAACAACCCTATTTAAACAAAAGTAGCGTAAACAAAAAAGAGCTCCCGAGTAGTTTGAACAATGAGTTTGATTTGATAATAACTAAAGCAACCCAAATTAATTTGATGAACACCCGACTCATTGGAACAATTTAACTACGTAAGTACTAAGATGGATATATTCACAATTTTAGTTGTAAATTATGTGCTTTTACAGTATTGGTAATTTTGTTAAAAATAAGAATTGACTGACTCCAAAATTCAATGACCACTTTGGTAATTGACCTGAAGAAAATCGCAATTAAAAACAAATCCGATTAGGATAAGCTCTTTGCTTCGCGAGTCGTAATCGTAACGATTAACGATCCCCATCTGCCACGTGTCCATCGCTTGCATAAATTTCTCTCGCTTGTTCCCTCCGTCCCCAAATTCACTCCTAAATTTCTCACCGATTCCTTTTCCTGATGACAACCGCCGCCGTACCCTAACCCTAATTTTCCATCACTCGGCCAGCTTTCATGGCCAGCCCTTCCCCTCTCACCTTCTCCGCCTGCTCTTCCGCTTCCTCCTCCTCAGCCACCCTCTACTCCATCCCTCCTGACACTGATTGCGTCTCCGACGGTTCTTTCTCCTCCGCCGCCGCCGGTTTCGCCCCACCCGTCGAAGACGCCGCCCCCACCGCCGAGGTCCCTTCCGTCTACCACCTCTCCTTCAACCAGGACTGCGGATGCTTCGTCGCCGGTCTCGACAACGGGTTCCGGATCTACAACACCGACCCGTTCAAGGCCCTGTTCCGCCGCGACATGGATTCTTCTTCCCCTTCCTCCTCCTCCTCACGCGGCGGAATCGGACTCGTCGCCATGCTCTTCCGATGCAACGTGCTCTGCTTCGTCGGCGGCGGCCCCGAGCCTCTCTATCCGGCGAATAAGGTCATGATCTGGGACGACCACCTCTCGCGCTGCTTCAGCGAGCTATCTTTCCGTTCCGAAGTGAGGAACGTGAAAATTCGGCGCGACAAGATCATCGTCGTGCTGGCTCAGAAGGTTTTCGTCTACAACTTTGTGGATTTGAGGCTGGTGCATCAGATTGAGACGGCGTTGAACAGTAAGGGGCTTTGTGAGGTTTCGCATACTTCGTCGCCGATGCTCCTGGCGTGCCCTGGCTTGCAGAAGGGGCAGATTAGGATAGAGAATTATGGTTCGAAGAAGACGAAATTCGTGATGGCTCATGATTCGAGGCTCGCTTGTATGAGCATGACTCAAGATGGGAGGTTGCTTGCTACTGCCAGCAGTAAAGGCACTTTGGTCCGAGTTTTCAATGCCTTAGATGGTTCCTTGCTTCAGGAGGTATAAAAGCTCAAACCTTTTTGTTATTGGAAGTACTGTAGTGGGTACGAAACATGAACCCAGGATTTATCTCGGTTTAGTGGATGGTTAGAACTGGTTGGGTAGCTGGATTTGTATGTACTGTTGTCATTGAATCTCTGATACGTCGTGACTGATATTTATCAATATTGATGCAAGCAATGCCATGAGAAACTTGGATTTAAGTCGGTGCGCAGTGGATGTTTTAGCATAAGCCTTCAACTGGATGTGAATTCATTGGTTAAGATATTTGCTGAATTTTAGATATGCATTACTAATTTCGATGGTTTATTAGTATATCATAGGCATTCAGATAGAGTTCTTAGATTCTTATGGTGTCTGAACTTGATACCGAGGCAAGCGTACTTGTGAGTGGGTGGTATAGTCCTGTGTTTTCACCCTACTGATACAAACAATGTAGCAAAAACCAGGATTGAAATCAAGTTCCCGATGAATGTGTAATGTGTTTAGCATATGCTTTGAACTGGTTAATCAATATGGATGAGTGTTGGTGAATGTTAGATATGTCATGGCCGATTTTATCAGTTCTATTGTTCTGGTATTTGGGAACGTAGTAATGGGGTTAAGCTTGCTTTCAATTGATGGTATAGTCCTGCTTTCTAAGTTATGGAAGTTTTGGTTATGGCCTTGGTTGGTGTGGAGATAGATGAATTTTAGATATGCCATGGCTGATTTTCATTCTCATGTCAAGTTCTTCTGGTGTTTATAACTTAATACTTGCATAAAACATTGCTTGTGAAACGGTGGTATAGTCCTGCTTTTTCCTAAGCTTAGACGTTGGTTCTGTCTTGTATTAATGGGAGCTGTTGCTGAATTCCCAGGTTAGGCGAGGTGCAGACAGAGCAGAAATCTACAGCCTTGCATTCTCCTCGGATGCTCATTGGCTAGCAGTCTCTAGTGACAAGGGAACCATCCATGTCTTCAGCCTCAAAGTGGATTCAGGGTCATTGGCAACACTATCAAATGATAGATCACAGGTGGTGTCTGCTCCAAATCCTTCCAATGGTTTGGGCATTTCATCCCTTTCCATCTTGAAAGGTAAAAACACACTCCTTGTTATGTGGATGAAAAGTGTCAAACTTAATGAATTTATATCCAATTTGGGTTCAGATGCTTCAATTACATACATGGTCATGAACTTTGGGTCACTTCAAATCAGTACACAACTTTATAGTTCAGTATATTTAACATAGCTGTCACAAAGTTCATCTTCTTTCCAAGCTGTCCATGTTATTATGTCAAACTCACCCGAATTATTAAATGAAATAGAAGGGTATTAGATAATCTAATTAGCTACAGGAAGAAATGGATTAGGGTGGTTCCAGGTATTATGGATAGTAATTGGGTTGAGTGATGAGATTGGTTGAATCAGGCATCGTTTAAAAGAGTTGTCAATGCTAGCTAATTAGGGTTTTTATCATCAAATTGGCTAAGTTAGTATGGTAATTGGGACTGAAATCAGAACAGGATGGGCAATGAGAGTATTATGGCGGTTATTCCAAATTGATCTACCGTGTTAGCCATTCCAAAGATTAGTGGCCGGTTTGCTTATGTTGAAGTGATTAAAGAAATGCTTCTCCACATCTAACTTCTAACGCTTTAGGCTTATGGAAGTTGTTCATCTAAATCATTCTCTCAATGTTCAACATATAACCGTATAGCTTTATAATCTTCAGGGGTGTTGCCAAAGTATTTCAGCTCAGAGTGGTCTGTGGCTCAGTTCCGATTGCCAGAAGGCTCCGAGTACCTTGTTGGTTTTGGCCAGCAAAAGAACACAGTTATCATCATCGGACTGAATGGAAGGTAAGCACTAGTCACCACTCACCACTCACCATAGCCTAGGTCTTTCTGCTTATTAGCCACTATAAGCAGAACAGCCCTTTCAAAGAACTCAGATTGTGCATTGAGTTTTAATGTTGATAGATTTCTTTTGGTTGCAGCTTCTACAGATGTGAGTTTGATCCTGTGAAAGGGGGAGAGATGACGCAGTTGGAACACCATAATTATCTTAGTGCCGACAATTTCCTGAAGCCAGGTGAAACTTTCACCAAGACATTGTAATTATGAAGCGAAAAATAAGCTGTGCTCAAAATTTTGGCCATCTCTCTTTGTGTATTTTACTGTTAGTATACTTCTTATTCATGCCTGTCATTCTAGTTCTCTCGAAAGGTGAAAAGAGGAATAAGATGTCACTTGTAAATAGTGGAATGAAAGTTAATTGATGATTGGAATCACCAGTGGGGTAAATTTGCGACCTTTTTGGTATGCATAGAGATTTGTCTTGAATCTATATAGTTTGGCAAGAAAATGGAAAACAATGGCTTCTTTCTAACACTTATAGCAGAAAGGAAATCATTTTCTGCTACTGACTATTATGTTTCTCGCGCCGATTACGTTCCTCCATCACCCGCGAAAAGAGCCTCGTCAAGCATACAATGTCAATGCACGAAGAACCACTATATTGATTTTTCCACTACGAACTCAGCAAGGAAAGGGGGTTATTTTTCCATTATGAACTTTTGGTCAGAAAACTACAAACTAATATGAAACGAAAATATAGAAACTAAAATCCAGTGAAGAGAAGGACAATCAACAGGGACCTTTCTCTAAGCACTAAAAACTACTACTGCCATGGCTGACAATTGACAACTACAAATCATATTCAATTACACGGAAACGAATCTAATGAGTCTAGCCTCTGTGGATTCATTCAGGTTGAGGCGCCCTTCTTCTTTGGGGAATTGGGTTCCGATGCAGATGATGTTTCAGAGATCTTCTTCTTGGGCAAGAGCACTGGGTTGATATTGGGCAGAACACCTCCACTAGCAATGGTGACTCCCTGCAGCAGCTTCCCCAGCTCCTCGTCGTTCCTCACCGCCAAAAGAAGGTGCCTCGGGTTTATCCTGTTCTTCTTGTTGTCCATCGCCGCATTCCCAGCTAGTTCCAGCACCTGTTGAAAATCAAGGAAAACCAATTCAATCCCCTGTTTGTTTCTCGAGAAAATTGGGGAAACGAAAATTTGCCGAGAGAACCATTGAACGGAAAGCAAGAGAATCGGATCTGAGGAAAATTTTCTGTTCGCGTATTTTTTTTAGTTACCTCGGCCGCGAGATACTCGAGAACAGCAGCGAGGTAGATCGGAGCTCCGGCTCCGTACCTCTGAGCGTACCGGCCTTTCTTCAAGAACCGGAAAACACGGCCGACGGGGAACTGGAGCCCAGCCCTCGCCGACTTTGAAACCGCCTTCTTCCGATCGCCTCCGCGTCTCCCTCCGGTGCCCTTCGGTGTCGCCGCCGTAGTCCCCGACTTCGCCACGGAATCCATGGAAGAATCAACGCAACCGAATTTGTTGAGTATATTAATCAATCATCAACAGTATCATTTATAGCTGAAAAGTAAAACTGCATCCCCAATTCAAAATTTCCTGCCCGTAGAGTGATTTTAGGAGGCTGATGTGACAGAGTGTTTAGGCGGGATTAATTTAGAAATCCCTCCTAATAGAGTGGTAAAAACCGTCGAGTCCCACAACTTTTTTTGTTTTGGCTGAAATCTCCTTCCTGTGTCCTTTTCGCAGTAACTTCCTATTCTATGTTTTCCTTTCTCCTTCCCACAGCACGGCAACAGATTAATTTTTCAGAGGACAATTTTGGGAAGAGGGACTGAATTTTGCTGCTCAGCGGAGGAAGTCACTGTCTGCTGCCGAGTTCACCGGGCCGAGATTCCGCAGCTTAGAACGAGTTGAGTTGTCAGGTGAGCGGAGGCAAAATCCGCGGAGGTTGATCTCGAGCGCAGCGGGGAAATCAGAAAGCAAAACCCCATACACTAAATCTCCGCCAGCCGCCGTCGTCTGGTCGAACTTCCACCATGGCTCGAGGACTGAAGAAGCATTTAAAGAGGCTCAATGCTCCCAAGCATTGGATGCTCGACAAGCTTGGCGGTGCTTTTGCTCCAAAGAAGTCGTCTGGACCTCACAAGTCGCTACCTCATCATTATTAAGGACTTCAATATACTTATCAATTCCTTACAATTACATTATTAACAATTTTGGATCAATTCTTATTGTTTTATAGTTTCGTCATCAACGCCTATAAATGAATCATTAAAGTTATGTAACATGGTCATTAATAGTTTGAATAACAATATCATTGATTTACAACATCTTTAGTACTAATGATTAACATTTTCACATCATGTTTATAACTATCTAGTCATGGCCTCTTTCAATGATTTCTAATGACATTATTAACGTTTTATGATCAATTAATATTGTTTACATTATCATTCTCAATGATCATAAAGTACAATACTGATTTTCAACATCTTGGGTACTTGTGACATAGTGCACCTGTGTGATTCAGTCAAACAAACATTGTCCAGAAAAATATTAGCTCAAGCAAACCAACATTCACGCCTCAACACCAAACTTTTAATAACAATACAATAAATCATTGATAATGAAAAGTATTTCGTTGAAAATAAACCCAAAACATCAATGTAAAAATGTCCGACTTCAACATTATAAATGACATCAAACTTTTAATAAAGATATTAAAAACTATTAATATCGAATGATCAAGTCACTGACAAGGAAATAGATATTTGTAATAAAAAAATATTAATAATATTCAAATGCAATGTTTGATGTCAAATAGCACTAAAACGCATTAATAAGTAACATGCGTGTAATGGATAATGCATTCAAAAACTTTGATAATGATAGCAAATAATGATTGTTAAGTACCTTATTAGATATTATTAATATCTTATTTTTCAAACATTGATAATGCTTATACACACTTATTAATAATGACACCAACTACATTACTAACTTAGACTGAAAGATTAATAACCATAGTTATATCATTAACTAAATTCACTTTTGCTAATGTCATAAACAAACGAATTCCTAACAAGTATGCTTCTTGATAATGACATTTGACAAAGTTACAAACATAAACGAAAAAAATATTAATAATTCAAATCACTAAACATAAGCAATCTTACAAATGAAATAAATTTTTGCTAATAGTTGTATTGTGCTTGAAAAAAAAAACATTGACAATAGCACTTCAAATGATTATAAATCATTGCGAACCAAATTGATAATACGATGTAATAGTAAATAAACTTCAAGTACCAACAAATTGAAAACACAACTTCACTTTTGCTAATGTTACAAACAAAACATAACATAAAAAGTTAATAATGTCATATAAAATTATTAAAAAAACATGTCGAACAACATTAATAATAACACAAACGAATACCTAACAACGAAAAATCCCAAACCCATGCAACGAAAAGCCCTAATAATGATTCAATTTATAAATATTGATAATATCATTACAAAATGTTAATACTTAATACTAATCGGAAGTTGCCAAGCTGTGAGAGAGACATATATTTTATATTTCAAATTTCCATTTTAGAAAAATAAAATTATTAAATTCGGATTTTATTAAATATTAAATAAAATTAATTTCATATTTCTTTTTAATTATAATGTAGAGAGAGGGTTATGGAGAAAATCATGGGAGGAGAGAGAAAGAGAATCATTAATTAATTATATTTGCATAACCCCATTTACCATTAATTACTTATTAACTACTAACCCTATTAACTACCTAATCCACTATCAGCCAATAAGAAGGCTTTAAGATTCTCTTTAAGAAATGAGGCTTAATGACTTGAACTCAAGCCATCCAAAACCATGCCATGTCCTTTGTCTTAAGGCTTAATGTTTTCGATAAATCCTTTGATTGAGCGAGATTGTGTAGCTCTAATCGTCGTGGCCTGGAGTTTGAGTCATATCATGTTGCAGGCAGAGGAGTTGTTTATTTTCCTATATTTAGCTGTTTCTGTCATATATATTTTATAGAAGTTGTGAAATGTGTATATTTCTCATCATCAATTTATTCTTATATGGAATTTCCAGCCTGGAAGTGATGGCCAAAGAGTGATTCATAATCCTAGGACTCGGTCCTCAAATCCCACGGCTACAAACCACTGAAGGCCGACACCCCTACGAATAGCTGAGTTGGGGAAAAAATCTTCCGTTCTCTTTTGTTTCAAAAAGCCAGACGTACATTACATTATAAAATAAAATAAAAAAGCCAGACGTATAGTGCAAAAAATATAAAAAGAAAAACCCAGATGTAGCTTTATGATAACTGATATCAGAGCTTACATCGGCCTTTGATACTGGTAAACATTTTAGGTAATAGGTATCTTATTCATATACGTGTAGAAGGCATCATCGCTGTTTGAAGCACCAATGTTCTGCAAGGCCATCTTGTCTTGATTAACACTAATGTACATTGAGTTGATATATCTGTCAAAAAGCTTTAGCCCATAAAAGGTAACTTCTTTTGTCACGAAAGGTTGCATTCAGAAGCAACCATTAAGCTCTGCTCTGAGTGGCGGATTCCAAACAAACTTATTATTTTGGAGCAACGTTGACTATGATAATCTTTTAATCAAGACTCGAGAGGGATAAAAAGATGTTTGGTAATTGAAAGGGTTAATTGGTCACTAAGATTACAAAAAACGTTCATGTTTGGTCACTGGAAATATTTAAATCCAATTTTGGTCACTTAAATTAGTTATATGATTCAAGTTTGGTCACTCTCCGTCCAGCTTAGTTAAATTTATCTGATGTGACAATCAACCCTCAAAGTTGACCGTTAACTCAGTGATGTGGCAATTAAAAAATAATAAATAAAATAAATTTTAATACTATATCATTTATAACTCATTTTCACAATAAAATAAAATAAATAAAACAAAAAATTATTATAGTTACAAATTGAAAAGGGGCGCCTCCTCCTCCACCACCACATCCCTTCCCTGCAATCAAATTAGCTCCCAATTCCACATCCTAGCTCCGCAACCTATCACCGTCGTAGCCGCTCCCGGGCAATATTCACCTGCACATCCTCCACCCTCAACCCCCGCTCCTTTCTCCAACTTCGTCAATGCATAGTAGGTGGAGACGCGCAAGGAAACCCGTACCTTGAGCACGACCCAATCTAGTTTTTATCTGCATCCTCTGCATTCACCAAGCGTAGCAAGACATAGCCCTTATGACGGAAGCAATGCAGTCAAAGTCGGGATTTTGATCGTAAAATCGTAGGATTTTAGGATTTTACTTAGGGATTCCGATCCTGATTTTACTATAAAATCGGTGGACCTTAAAATCGTTAAAATCGTACCAAAATCGGGATTTTGATCCTATGTGAACAAAATAGGGAGCTTGAGCCAATTCAAAAGAAGCAGAACTTTTTCGGTGGAAAGGGCAATGACGGGGATCTTCTCATATATTTTTCCTATTAAAAGAACATTTTAAAAAAAACTAATTATGGTTCGATCAAGCCCTTTCCCTTCTACTTGTTTAATGCATCGGTAAAACAATTGTCAGAATATTGTAAGTACGTAAGAATTAACATCATTATTAACCAATTATTTAATTAATGAATATATTTGTACCAAACCAATGACATTATTTATTTTTTTGGAGTTCACATATTCTTAGTTTTAAATCATGCTTAATTTGTAGACGATGTCGGAATACTACTTTGAGTTAAACTGCCAAGACAAAACATGAAAAAAGAGCAAACCCCCATGAGCTCTATTATTTCCTCATAAATTATTTTGAGTTACGCATTAA